TAGGGGGGTTTCGGGTTTAGGGTTTTTAGGGTTTAGGGTTTTTAGGGTTTAGGGTGTGTAGGGTTTTTAGGGTTTAGGGGTGTTTAGGGTTTTTAGGGGTTTTTAGGGTTTAGGGTCCACGAATCATCCTATAATGGTTCGTATAGTCGCAGCCCTGTGCCTTGTTCCGGAGTGACAAAGGGCGGAATCCAGCAGGAAGTTGTGTTTCGGAGATATATACATATAAATAAATATATATATATATAAGAGAATCGATATTCGCTGCTCGCAGTTTGTTGTTGTTGGGCTCCCGCGTTGGAAGAGAAGTGACCGCTTTCTTGCTTGCGGATTCCATGATCTGCGAAGCCCTAAACCCTAAACCCTAAACCCTAAACCCTAAACCCTAAACCCTAAACCCTATAAGCCCTAAACCTTGAGGCTTTAGGGACACGGGCCCAACCACCCTCGGCATGCTGGGGCGCCTTGCAGGTTTTAGGGTTTAGGGTTTAGGGGTTTAGGGGTTGAAGGGGGTTCTGGGGGCGTTGGGTGCCAGAGCACCTGGTTAAAGACCAGGGGATTTCTAGGGTTTAGGGTTTGGGGTTTAGGGTTTCGGGTTTAGGGTTTAGGGTTTAGGGTTTAGGGTAAACCTTAAACCTAAAACCCTAAACCTGACATCCCTCTTGTAGCCGTCTCCGTTCCTCCTCAGAGGAGCTGGTCAACTTCCTCCGGATCGGGGCCCTGCACTCAGATCGAATGTGGGTGAGGGTTCGAGGGTTCAGGGTTTAGGGTTTGGGGTTTTGGGTTGAGGGTTTAGGATTTAGGGTTCGTGAGAGAGCCCTGGAGCACAAAGGGTTTAGGGTCTTTAGGGTTTTGGGGTGTTTGCCCTTCTGGCTCGCGAAAAAGGAGGCTGGTCAAGAGCCCTGAAGCGCCCTGGAATCCGGATTGTCGTGCCTGAAAGTCTTTCTGTGTGTGTGTGTGTGTATGTGTGTGTGTGTTTGTGATTACTTTATGATTTAGGGTGTCAGGGGCGTGTAGGGCTACTCCCGTGCCTAAAACAAGGGTGTGTACGTTTAGGATTTAGGAAAAAAGGCAGCTGCAATTCGTGACAGCACAAAAGTTCGATCGTTGAAGCTGTAATCAGCTCATGACTCATTACCATTTCCCTTCTGGAGACAGGGCACCCATCCTATGTGCTATCCTCCGTGGGTGCGAAACCGTGTTTTTTTGTGTCGTGTTCATGTGTGTCAGCCAGTCAGTCAGTCAGTGAGTCAGTCAGTCAGTCACATATTCCTAAAACCCCTAAGCCCTAAACCTTAAAACCCCTTAACCCTAAAAGCCCTAAACCCATAAACCCACAACGTCAGTCAAGTCAGGTGCTCGTCCCAACCAAGGACTTCGAGGCCCGGGCAAGACGGGGGTTCACGGTTGAGGGTTTAAGGTTTAGGGTTTAGGGTTTAGTGAGCCCCCAGCTGACACCGGGTTGAAGGAAAAAAGGGTTTAGGGCCCTTGTAAGTCCTCAGAAAAACCCTTAACCCGAAATGTTGGGGTTCTCGGCTCATAGGTTGTATACTGCTATACAATTAAGAACCCCCAAAAGAGTTAAAAATAGCAGTCCCTATATTGCCCTTCTAAGGAAGAATATCTTTTGTGGGGTTCTGAAGCAAATAGCGGTAGAGGGTGCAGTCTCTGAGGGCTGGGATCATAGGGTTTGCCTGGTCAACCCAAACCTCTTCTTTTAACGGCTCGTACTACAATTCTCTTTATAGAGGATTCGCCAAGATCCTGCAAAGAAGTGGGTTGCGGGAGTGTTTCGGAGTTTGGGGCTTCGAGGTTGGGAGTGCAGTGCAATTAGGAGAAGAAAAAACAGGGTGCAAGGTTGGGATGTTCCCAAGTGCGAGGTATAAATCCCAAAATGCATCACGAGTCTGGGGTCACCGTTGCGAACCAAGATGCAAAGCGAGCCCTCATGCAAAAAGAGCTTTCGGGTTCCCATAGTAGCATGTTTAGGGTTTAGGGTTTTTAAGGTTTTGAAATGCTTTGGGGTTCCCAGGGGGGGGGGGGGGGGGGGGGGGGGGCTTGATTCGACCTACCCCAAAGTACCCAAAGTACTCAACCCTAAAACCGGAAGTCTAAGTGTCCATGTACCGAAATAGAGGACAACTGTGCCTATCTTTATGCACTTCCTATCTTGGGACCTTTGGGGCCCGAGTAATAAAACACTGAGGTGCATGGATCCTTAAGGAAACCCCCTAAACCCTAAACCCCAAACCCTAAACCCTAAATCCTAAACCCTAAACCCTAAACCCTAAACCCTAAACCCTAAGCCTCGGGCAGGACACCTGCAAGGCGTACTTCGGCACCTGGACCTTCGAGGAGGCGTTCCAACGCACAGGGCGGCCGGTATCTTGTCTTGGAGCTGTTTAGGGTTTAGGGTTTAGGGTTTCGGGTTTGGGGTTTGGGGTTTAGGGTTTAGGGTTTAGGAATCAAAAAACAAGAAATCCCTATCTTGCCCTTAATCAGGAAGAATGTTTTTTGGGGGGTTCTTAAGCAACTAGTAGGGAGCTTTTGATGGTGGGGACCTAAATGAACCCTGAAAGGGTGTTTAGGGTTTCATATTACATGGAGAGGAAGTATAGTAATATAGAGCTACTAGTTGCTTAAGAACGCCGAAAGAATAAACAAAAAAACAATAATCCCTATATTGCCCTTAGTAAGGAAGAATATTTTTGGTGGTTCTTAAGCAATTAGTAGGAGCTTTTGATGGTGGGGGACTAAATGAGCCTTAAAAGGTTTTAGGGTATCATATGACCCTAAGAGGAAGTATAGTAGTCAGGGTAGATGGCCCCAATTTTAGGGTTTCTTTCGTCCCAAAGGTGGTGGTGGTGGAGGGTGTTTTTTGCTTTCGTGGGTTTGTTTTATGGCGCCCTTGAGCTCAAAGGCTGTTTTAAGGTTCTATGGGGGTCTACATAAAGTTTGCATGGTGTGCACAGGGTCTAGGCTTAGGGCTGGGAATAGGGTCCCTCCCTTGCAAAGGGGTATCCTCAACACCCATGGCAAGTAGGTTTTTTTTTTTGCTCGTTTGCACCTAACGACTCCTGCGCGGCAAGCAGCACTCAACCCCGGATCCCTGTAGCCATTGTGACTCAAACTGCTCTGTTACCAGACATCTTTCACGCTGGCCTGTCGACCAGCAGAAGGGCCTCGAGCAGCGTCGCCATGGCGCTGAAGGGTGAAGTGTACAAGAGTGATGACGACCACTCGCACACATTGACCCACCAGGACACACGGAACCTCGCACAGTCCCTCGAACAAGTCGGCCACCACACTGGAGCACTCAAACGGCTGATCTCGCCGCTTTCGCTCATGGAGCCTGTTGCTTAGGGATGCTTAGCATTGCTTGTAAATTTTTGGGTACTATAACTCCGAAGAAGCAGCAAGAATTATGTTTTTTTTCTGCCAGGGTCCCCCGTTCAGCATAGGTTGGAGCTGGCCAGGATCACCAGAATGTGGAACAGGCGAAGCAATCGAAGGTTGGCTCCTTTGCTGGCGCTCTGGCCTCTGCGCTCATCAACCACATGCTGCTTGGGGAGCAGCTGAAACGTAACATTGGGGTCATATACCCTACCTATACTACTAAGTTTCTACCATAATCCCTGTTAAGGGTATGTATATGTATATATAAGGGTATGTATATGTATATATATATATAGGGTATATCAGCCCATAAACCCTCCCAGGGCTCATCATGTGGTCCCCTTATAAGGTTGATGTTTGGCATGTGCTGCTCCTACGGCATGATCATCTTCAGCGAAGCTTGAGCATAGTTTGGGTAACCTTTTTGCATGTTTAAGGGTACTTAAGACCCAATAGCCCTAAACTCTAAACCCTAAACCCTAAACCCAATAGCCCTAAACCCTAAACCCTAAGCACAAAAACTAGGAAGAGCGGAACGCAGCGCACCGAGCCCTGGGCGTGAAGATGTGCTTGGCGGCCTCCTTCATCGGCGGAGGGCTGATCCTCGAGAACGAGGGTTTAGGGTTTGGGGTTAAAGGGTTTAGGGTTTTGGGTTTAGGGTTCATATATACCTTAATAGGAATTAATCGTAGTGCAGGGTCTGTGACCCCCCCCCCCCCCCCCCAATTTTAGGGTTCCTTTCGTCCCCAAGGATGTCGGTCATTTCCGGCATTCCGGTTGCCATCGGTGGGACGGATCTCAACCCCGCCGTGTTCTATGGCGACTGGGTGATTACGATCTCGGATGAGCTCACGAAATCGCTGGCCCTTGAAGACTTTGCCAGCTATTCAGGTTCGGGAAGACTGCTCAAGAAGAACGACCCCACCAAGTATTTCTGCAAGGGTGACCATCTCATGGCAAACCCCCAGGAGCCAGCATGGGCTTTTCGGGCTTAGAATTCCCCTGACCAACCCTATAAAGGGCCGTTTTAAGGGGGTTATGGGGCATAAGAGCTCTAAACCCTAAACCCTAAACCCTAAACCCTAAGCCCATGTAGGAGTGCGAGTCGTACCATGCGCAGCTCCGTGCCACCACAATCTTCGCTGTGGCCTTCTCCACGCTGCTGCTGGCCATCATTTGGAGCGTCCTCGGAAAGCTGAAGCTCACGAGATACGTCACTAGGTAGGCCCTTGGGACATTTTATTATGTTCCCGTATTGGGTTTAAGAGGCTCATATTCAGAAATATCAGGGATATGTTCTCAGATGGTTTTCTAGGTCAGCTACATGCCCTACAGCATCTCGGAAGCCTTCCTGGCGTGCGTCGGCTACAAGGTCTTCTTCTACGCCATCAAGTTCTGCGACTTCGACCCGAGGCAATTCTTCACGGCTGCTTTCATCGGAATTGCACTCTACTTCTGCAACTTAGTAGCTGAATGAGTACACTCTACACTTTTTGGGATACTCTAATCCCCTATAGAACTGAAAGTGGTAGACTTTTTTGGGGGCTTATGCTTATGGACTCAGCCACTAAGGCAAGGCTTTGCACATCGGAAATCCCACCATCATGATGCCTCTGGGGCTACTCTTGCCTTTGGCCATCTTCTGGGGGATCGTGGCTGGGACCGACCAGACCCCTGCCCAAGTGCGTGACGCAGGGTGGCTCTTTCCTGAAGTGAAGAACGAGCCCTTCTACCTCGTCTGGCTGGATAGCCTAGGGTCCATTGCGAACATCAACTTCAGTGCTTGGGTGACAACGCTGCCCAGTCTTGCAGTGATGTTGGTCGTGTCGACTATGGACTGCGTCCTCAAACTCCACGCCACAGAGAGCAAGCTGCCGCTGAAGGTGTCCACAGATGATGAAGCGTTCAAATTCGGCATCTTCAACTACTTGCTCGCGTGCTGTGGCGCTGCAACCGGCTACATGCAGCTGAAGTTCAACGTCATCAGCTACGGAGTCATGCGAAATGCGCACGACCGCAGGGCAGGGATGATCTACGCCATTTTCTGCGGCGCGGCCTACTTCAGCACGGTGGAACACTTCAACTACCTTCCCAAGCTGTTCCTGAGTGCGCTTTTGTTCTTTGCCGGTGCGGGCTTCGTCACGGACAACATGTGGGGCTCGCGGAAGTTCCTCCACTTCAGCGAGTGGCTGGAGATCGTTGTGACCCTTGGGGACGAAATGAACCCTAAAGTTGGGGCCAGACACCCTAGACTACTATAGACCTCCTTTTAAGGTAGATGAGACCCTAAGCCCTTTTAGGGTTCATTTCGTCCCCGAGGATCCTGATCGTGTTCATCGCCGCGGGCCAGCTCATCTGGGCGGTGGTTGCTGGACTGGTTCTTTCTGGACTTGCCTTCATCGCCAAGTACGCTCGGGTGCCCTCCATGGATGGAAGACCCAAGCGAGGTGACCAGGTGATCACGCGTGAGCGCCCGGTGGGCGAGGTCGGCCACCAGAGCTTCATGCACATCGCCTCCGCGTGGATCTTGATTGTGACTCGGATGCCCACAGTAAAGGGCCCTTATTCCCTTTTTTGGGGGGTTTAGGTTCCCTTATGAAGACCTTTTTATTGGGGAATGTTTAGGTTCCCTTCTGAAGGCCTTTAAGCAAAAAAGGGCACAAGCTAGGTGAACCTCAAGGGCTACGTCTTCTTCAGCTCCTGCGTGGCCGTCATGAGTTCCGTCGAGGCGTACTTCAAGAAGGAGGACGAGAACAAGGTGCCTGCATACAGAAGCTCAGTAGGCCCCTGGAAGATTTTGTATTTTCCCTTATTGGGCTTAAGAGGAATATATCCCTAAACCCTAAACCCTAAAGCCCAAACCGCGGCCATCCTAGGAAGGCTCAAGTTCCTGCTCTTTGACGGCTCCGCCTTGGACGGGATGGATGCATCTGGGGCGATCCTTGGGGACGAAATGAGCCCCAAAATTGAGGGTTTAGGGTTTAGGGTTTAGGGGTCAAATACCCTGACTACTATGGTTCCTATGAAGGTAATATGAACCCTAAACCCTTTTAGGGTTCATAACGCGCCCCCAAGGATGAGCATGGCCAAGTTGACCCGCAAGGCCAAGCAGCGTGGGATCCGTGCTTCTTGGGCGCCAATTCCTTGGGGACGAAATGAACCCAAAAAGGGTTCAGGGTTCATATACCTTAAGAAGGACTTAGACATGAACCCGAGAAGGGTTTATGGTTCATGTTACCTGAAAAAGACTCTTATTGTAGACCGTGTAAAGGGTTTAGGGTTCATATTACCTTAATAGGAATTATAGTATGTCAGGGTACATGACCCCCAATTTTAGGGCTCACTCATTTCGTCCCCAAGGTTCTGGACACCCCAAAGCGGTTTAGGGCTCATATTACCTCACTAGGCAACTTATAGCAGTCTTTTGGTTGTCCTAAACCCGAAGCCCTAAACCCTACTAGGCCCTAAACCCTAAACCCCGCAATTCTAGGGCTCGCGTGGCCCCCAGATAGTTGATCTAACCCTAAACCCAAAACCCTAAGCCCTAAGCCCTAAACCCTAAACCCTAACCCCCCCCCCCCCCCCCCCCCCTCCCAAGGTTATCTGGTGCAACATCAAGGATGACCTGGCCGAGGAGCTTCGGGTGCGACACATCCTGCAGTCCATGGAGGACTTCTGGGAGGGTCCTTAAGGTTAGGGTTTAGGGTTTAGGGTTTAGGGTTTAGGGTTTAGGGTTTAGGGTTTAGGGTTTAGGGTTTAGGGTTTAGGGTTTAGGGTTTAGGGTTTAGGGTTTAGGGTTGACGGTTTTGCAAAAAGGGTTTGGGGTTTGAGGTTTCGGGTTTCGGGTTTCGGGTTTGGGGGGTTCATGGGTGGTTAGGTAGGGAACCTTAGGGAAGCTTCGGTGAGGCCCTTTGGCCCTTGAACCCCCCTCCCTTAAGAATCCTACACCCTAAACCCTAAACCCTAAACCCGAAACCCTAAACCCTTAACCGTATTAGAGGATCGCTTCGAAGACTTGGACAACGCGATGACTCACCTGGAGAAGCGCATTCTGAAGTACAAGATCCTAGGAAACCAATTATGACCCCCAGGGTTAGGGTTTAAGGTTTAAGGTTTAGGGTTTAGGGTTTAGGGTTTAGGGTTTAGGGTTTAGGGTTTAGGGTTTAGGGTTTAGGGTTTAGTAGGGTTTAGGGTTTAGCGTTTTAGGATTTATGCCCTATGCCCTATACTATCAAAAACTCCTCTATTTTCAGGGAATATGAACCTAGAACTCCTCTATATGCAGGCAATATGAGCCCTAAACCAATGCAAGCTTTTCCCTAAACCCTGAGGGTTCATGATTGGACCCCTCAAGGATGAATCAGCAGGAAGAGTGGATGAACCTTCACCCCGCTTTCCGGCGAGACAGGGCGCTGATGCTGCAACGGGTGAACTTCGAGCCCTTCAGGGAGGTGTTCTTGTCCCTTGGGGTCCAACTGGGGTTTAGGGTTCAGGGTTTAGGGTTTAGGGTTTAGGGCTCTGGGTATGAACCTTAACATTGGGGTCATATACCCTATTGAGATGCTGTACTTCCGATGATGGTAATGAATCCTTTTAGGGCGCACAATGGGTCCCCAAGGTCTGACGGTGCCCGTATGGGCTGTCCGTGGCGGTACTGCAGCCGCTTGCCAATCAAAGCTTTCAAGACCCTGCTGCTTGGCTTTCTTCTGGCTGGCTCCCCAAACCCTAAACCCTAAACCCTAAACCCTAAACCCTAAACCCTAACCTCAAGAAGGAGCCGAACAGTCAACCGTTTAGGAGTTCAGAAGTCGGCCAAGGCTGTGTGTGCCGGGCGACCAGCACAGACCGCTTTACTTGATTCACTCTGGCGCCATCGCAATCCTGGATGAACCTTGCGGACTAATTATGAATCCCAATAGGGTTTAGGGTCCATCCTATGCCTTGCTAGGAATTAGAGTAGTAGAGGGTATGTGACCCCAACCCTAAACCCTAAACCCTAAACCCTAAACCCTAAACCCTAAACCCTAAACCCTAAACCCTAAACCCCAATGTTAGGGTTCATTTGGTCCCCAAGGAAGTTCCCGACTCGGATCAGATCATGGACGTCCATGCCTCCTGGAAGAAGCCGCGCGTCATCCTCCGACAGGGCTGGTTCGTGAACGAGACTTACTTATAGCCAATAGTTGGGTTTAGGGTTTAGGGTTTAGGGTTCAGGGTTCAGGGTTTAGGGTTTAGGGTTTAGGGTTTGGGGTTTAGGGTTTAGGGTTGAACTTTAAACTTGTTGGGTTTCCTTATTTAGTAGAAACAATCAAGTTGAACCTTGTTTTTCCCCTTGGTGATTAAAGAAGTAAGGAGAAGACCATTTTTGGCCAGCCTTCTTCCAGCTACGCCCTGGCCGTGGAAGATGGGGAGGTCTTGTTCTGGACGGAGGAGCAGTGGTGGAAGATGACCAACGAGCACCCGCTGATGATGATGGAGATCTCGAATGCCGTGACTGAGTAGCTGAGTGAGTACACTTTACCACTTCTTGGGGATACTCTAACCCCTACAAAACTGAAAACCCTAAACCCTAAACCCTAAGTACACTTTTGGGGGGCTTATGAACTCAGCAACCAAAGGTGATGAGACAGCAGGGAGAGCACCACTTCCACCGAGATCCGGAGAAGTCGCGCAGGTCCTCCGAGCTGAGCACCTTGGGGACGACTTCTGAACCCTACCAGGGTTTAGGGTTTCATTATACCTTAGTAAGAGTTACCGTAGTCCGCGTACATGACCCCAATTTTAGGCATTTTCGTCCCCAAGGCATGGATGACATCGACACGGAGCAGCTGATGAGACGCGAGGTGTCCCCGTCAGAAATCGAGGCAGTTGAGGAGGAGGAAGACTCGGAGGAGGAAGAGCTGATGATCCCAGAGAGGAACCTTGGGGACACTTGAAAATGTGTTTTAGAGTTTTTGGGTACTTGAATTCTTAAGAAACAGCAACAATGATAGTTTTTGCCAGGGTTCCACGTCCTGAGGAACCAGGAGGATGAAATGCTCCCCCCGACCACCTACACCTCCAACGCCTCCATTGGCTCCTACGTGTATCAGTCAAAACAGGTGGGGATTTACGAAGATAGGGTTTAGGGTTTAGGGTTTAAGGTGTAGGGTGTAGGGTGTAGGGTTTAGGGTTTAGGGTTCAGGGTTCAGGGTTTAGGGTTTAGATCCCCAAAGGTGGCATTCCCTTAGAGTAAGGACCCCGTTCAGGTCCCCTAGATTCTCAGAAACCCTCGCAGGTCCAACGCTTCAACAAGTCCGTGCTCTGCACCCCGATCCTTGGGAACGACATGAACCCTAAAATTGGGGGTCATATAACCTGACTACGGTACGTAACTCCTATTAAGGTACGCTAAACCCTAAACCCTTTTAGGGTTCATAATTACAAGGATCGACCTCGGAGACACCTTCGAGCGTGAGGAGCTGAAGAAGTTGCCGCAGCTTCAGACAAGGATTCTTGTGGGGGCAAATGAGAGGCCCTTGTGATACCTGAATGTAGGAGTTGTCGGTAGTAGTATATAGGGAGCACGACCCACAAATTTGGGTTCAATTCTACCTTCACACAGGAATCGGGTAGTACAGGGTGTAGCCCTAAACCCTAAACCCTTTTTGGGGGTCATGTGCTCCTCCAAGGATTATGGAGGTGCACTTTGCCCGGGCGCTGGGCGAGCAGGGCTTCTTCAGGAAGACGGGAGATCCTGGCTACTAGGACGCCCAGTAGGGGTTTAGGAAACCCTAAACCCTAAACCCTAAACCCTAAACCCTAAACCCTAAACCCTAAACCCTAAACCCTAAACCTTTTTTTTCTCCTATGGTGCTGGTCCTAGGCTACCTCCCAGACCTGCCCAAGATTTTGAGCGAAGACCTGCGCCTTGCCTACTTCACCTTCGCGGAGAAGAGCGACACGACTGGAGACTTGCCCCTTGGGCCACGAAGTGAGCTCTGAAATTGGGGGATCATATATGCCCTATACTGCAAAAACCCTCCCTATTTGCCCTAGTAGGGTCATACCAACCCTAAACCCTCAGCCGTAAACCCTAAACCCTAAACCCGACCTCTTTAGGGTTCATAACTGGTCCAAAAAAGGTCGGGAAAGATCATGCTGCCTGCCAGCCGAGTGATTGATGCCCTGATGTACGTCGGAATCTTCCACATCTTGTCTGAGGAAGCCACTCGGTTGGTTTGTGGGGGACGTTTTTGGCTTCTTCCTTCTTTGAGTGAATACAATAACCCTACATATATTAATATATATATATATATATGTATATGTTCTTTCCTTATTTGGGTTTATAAGGGACCCTATGACTATAAATATTTTCAAAGGGTTTACAGGCCAAGGCCAGCCCATTAGGATGTTCCCCCTGACGCAAACAGTCCTTAATAGGCAATATAAAACCCCCCATCCTAATCCCTTTTGAGGACACTTGCATACCTTGACAGGAGTTGTAGCCCTAAACCCTATAAACCCTAAACCCTAAACCCTACACTCAAGTTGTAGTCTTCGGTTTCCCTCTTCCCAACCCAGGTCAACCAGAAGGACGTCACGCTCGAGGAGTTCCTGGCATTGGGTCGCGAGTGCCACCTCGCCCGGCTGCTGCCAGAGCAGATGCTTGGGGTCGCCCTTCGTGGTACCCTTTTGCTTGGTTTGTTTTTGGAGGGAGCGGGGGGGGGGGGGGGGGGGGGCTAGGGTTTAGGGTTTAGGGTTTGGGGTTTAGGAGTTGGGGTTTAGGGTTTAGAGTTTGGGGTTTAGGGTTCCCTTACAAAGCAACCAACCCAAAATACCCGTATTGTACTATGGTTACTGGGCTACCAAAGGATGCAGAAGATCGAGGAGCTGTGCGTTGACCATGAGCACATGGTGAACGGTGAGATGCAGTTGCGAGTGGCCGATGTGTCGCACATGCTGAAGATGCTCTTCGGTATTTACCTGGACTTTGCCATCAATGATGCTGTGACCTCAGCATGGGGGCAGGAAACCTGGCCCGACACGCACGTGACCCACAAGCAGTTCGCTGGCATCGTTTCGTGGTATGTGAAGCGGCGCGAACGCGACTGGAGGTTGCTCCAAGGGGTGTTTGACCTCATGGGCAAGGAAAACCTGGTTGGGAGCTTGAACAAAGATCTCCTCGAGGACTGCCGAGCACGACATTCCGACGACACCGGCGGAGACACGACGCCGCACGAGGAGATGCTGTGGGCAGCAGATTGGATCAGGCGTGGTGAAGGAAAAGGCACTCACCTGGACACATGCAGCCTGCTCACAGTCTTCCTCACAAATCTGCAGCGTGGGAAACTAGGTTGTTTTTTGGGACATTTTTTAAATTTTCCTTCTTTGGGTTTATAAGGGCCCCCCCCCAAAAAAAAAAAAATATATATATATATATGTATGTATATATGTTTATTTATTTATTTGTTTTTATATTTTTTTTCAGAGGGTTTAAAGGCCAACCCAGGAAAGGCCGCCTTCCGCCCAAGTCCGCGATGTCCGAGCAAGAGGTGCGGCCGAAGCGGGCTTGGGATCGGCACACCCAGAGGGCCCTGAAGAAGAACCTTGGGGAGGGTTTAGGGTTTTAGGGTTTAGGGTTTAGGGTTTCGGACGAGTTATGAACTCTCGAAAGGTTTATGGCTCATATACCTCAAAAGGAATTCTAGTAGTCAGGGTATATAACCCCAGTTTTTCCTCTAAAAGGATATACGGTTCATATACCTTAAGCGGAATTCTAGTAGTCAGGGTACATAACCCCCAGTTTTAAGGTCCATGGGGTCACCAAGGAAGGGCACCCAGTCTATCGCTCCGAGCTCGAAGAAGACGCCGGTGCAGGAGACCTCCACCGACAGCGGCAGCGAGGGACCTGCATCTTGCTTAGCCAATACTAGCCCTAAACCCTAAACCCTAAACCCTAAACCCTAGACCCTAAACCCTAAACCCTTTCTTACCCCTTATCCCTTGGAGAAGTAAGGCATGGGCGCTGGCAATCATTGACCTCCTGGAGAGGCCGGAGGCGTCGACTTGTGCGGCCATCTGCGTCTACACGATGTTCCTTGGACTCTGGGTTTTTTCTGCAGTTCAGCAGGCCCTTAGTGAGTAGGTATAACCCATAAAGCTGTAGGTACAGAGGGTTCCAACCCTAAACCCTAAACCCTAATTTCATAAAGCTGTAGGTAAATTGAGTCCCAGGTTGGCCCTGGCGGTCCTCAACGTGGTGGCCATCGTTGCGGAGCCGATGATCTCTGGCCTCGACGATGATCAGACACCCGACGAGTACCTTGGGGACAGGAACCCTAAAAGGGTTTACAGGGGTTTAGGGTTTAGGGTTTAGGGTTTAGGGTTTAGGGACAGGGTTTATAGTAGTATAGGGCATGAGACCCAAGGTACCTGCTTTGGTTGGGCTGCGACATCTTCTTCGCCGCCGTCTTCAGCATAGAGTTGGTCCTGAGGGTCGTGGCGCGGTGCGCGTTGAAGCCGGGATGGAAGACCTTGATCCTTGGGGGCGCGTTCTGAACCCTAAAAGGGTTTAGGGCTTCATATATACCATCATAGGAGTTATAGTAGTCAGGGTATATGACCCCATGCTTTAGGGAACCCTAAACCCTAAACCCTAAACCCTAAACCCTAGACCCTCAGGCCCTCAGGCCCTCAGGCCCTCAGGCCCTCAGGCCCTAAACCCCAAACCCCGCCAAGGATCCAGTTCTTCTCAAACCCCTTCAACATCTTTGACCTCGTGGCGATCACAGAGATCTACTTCGACCACCTGATCCATCTCCCGGTACCTTGGGGTTTAGGGTTTAGGGTTTAGGGTTTAGGGAACCCCTAAAAGGGAGTTAGGAACCCTAAAAGGGCTGATGGTTCATCCATATATATATATATATATATATTTATTTATTTATACCTCAATAGGAATGATAGTAGTCAGGGCACTGTGAAGCCTAAACTTGGGGTCACATACCCTATACTACTATAATTCCTATGAAGGGTATATGAACCACACACCCTTTTCTCTTGGTTTTTTTGGTTAGTCCCCAAGGTACTGCGCCTGCTGTTCTTGGAGCGCTTTGCCCGCCTTGCCCGCCTGATGAAGCTTGGCAAGCTCAGTGCTTATGGCTGCCCAATGGTGGCCCCACTGACCGCCGTCCTGGTGGTGATCTTGGGCACCTACATGCTGCACCTGGAAGAGATCATCTCCAGCTAGAGCCCTGTGGCTTCTTGAGGCCGAGGTGTTTGGGACAGACATGGCCTAAGATGCTGAGCTGTCCGAAGCGTCGTTCTCTCGCTTGTTGCCTCGGCTCCTAGACGCCAGGTCTTGGGTCGATGTGACCATTGATGCAACGAATCCGTCTGCAAAGCAGAGCGAGTCAGCGGCACATTCTACGTGAAGCACCCGAGAGTGAACCCTTCATGAAGAATACCTGGGACCTCTTTATCTACCGCTCCCTGGTGCGGACCGTAAATTTAGATTATCTGATTAGCATAGACTTGGCAGCCCAGTGGTACCCTTTGATTTAGGGTTTAGGGTATAGGGTTTAGGGTTTGGAGTTCTCTGATAAAGTAACCCATCCCAGAAAAGTGTGCCCTTAGTATCATATTTGCTCCTGGGCGACCAAGTAGACGAAACCTGCATGAGTTGTTTCCGGGGTCTTGTGCCATCGCCCAGACCGCCGAAGCCAGGGCTGAATACTTCAAGTCCTAAACCCTAAACCCTAAACCCTAAACCCTAAACCCTAATCAGGGCTTGAAGATGTGGGCTTACGGCTTTAGAGAGGCGTTTATTGATTCGATGTTCAGTCCTTGCCTTGAATTCAAGCAGGAGTTGGGAGTGGGTCTCTGATGCCACGCAATGGCATTCTTCGCAGAGACGCCAGCACTTGCTGCATTTCGTCTTGGAAGTTTCGGCATTTTCTGTACAGGACCGAAAGCTATGCCACAGTTTTGCCGACTGCAACACCTCGTGCACTTCCGCGTTCTTTGCCGAACGATAGTGGAGTCACGATCCGGGCAGTATTTATTCCCTGGAGCTCCATCAAGAACTTGATGTTTATGCTCCATGCTGCGTGCAGCAAGACCAGCAAACCCTTGGACCCTCGCGCCATTGCAAAAACGACCGCACCCTGGGGACCAAATGAACCCAGAAATTGGGGGTCATGTACCATGTACTACTGTAATTCCCGTTAAGGTACTTATCAACCCTAAACCCTTTTAGGGTTCATGTGGTCCCCAGGGTAACCTTGCAAGAGGATGTCTCGAAACGAGCGGGTCGCTCTGCACGCGCACACACAGAGACAGACACAGACACAGACACAGACACAGACACAGACACAGACACAGACACACCGCCACAAGGTGACCATCGTGATCTCCTCGAACTTCTCGCGGAAACTCCCTGCCTGCGTCATGCTGACTCTGGGCGTGGTGGGTGGGTTTAGGGTCTATAGGGTCTATAGGGTCTATAGGGTCTATAGGGTCTATAGGGTCTATCGGGTCTATAGGGTCTATAGGGTCTATAGGGTCTATAGGGTTTAGGGTTTAGGGTTTATCCAAACGGGTTTAGGGTTTAGGGTAGGGTTTAGAGCGCTGAGACAAGCGTGTGCACAAAACAAGGCTTTAGAGTCCCAAAGCCGACTCCCAAGGTCTGCCTATACCAGCATCAATATACTGAAATCAAGGAGCCCAAAACCCTAAACCCTAAACCCTAAATCCTAAACCCTAAATCCTAAACCCTAAATCCTAAATCCTAAACCCTAAACCCTCCACAGTCGGAGGTTGCTGGGGTCACCCAAGGTCAGAATGGTCCCATGACCAACCAAATGACTCACAAACTTGGGGGGTCATGATGCCCTAAATTCGTTTTTTGGGTTTGGCGTTGAATTAGGGTATACCTTGTTCAATTGTAACCCTATGAAGGTATAACCCTATGAAGGTGTATGGGCCATAAAGTTCATAGTTGGTCCCGAAGGAAGTCCACCATCCGGGATAACCCTAAACCCTAAACTCTAAACCCGAAAGGAACCACATGACCACGCCGCGAGTGACCATCGCCTCTGCTGTGGCGACCTCCTGCGCCGCGATTGGCGTGCCTTGATGAGGGCCAAGCCGGATAAGGAGTTGGGGTTTCGGGAGGCTGGGGTGTTGGTTTAGGGTTCAGGGTTCAGGGTTTAGGGTTTAGGGTTCAGGGTTTAGGGTTTAGGGTGATTTTTCTTTTACGGGTTTAGGGTTTAGCGGAGTGAGCCTCAGATAGGCATCTGCCCAACCGCAAGAAGCGCTTGCTGCAGGCTTGGGGTAGTTGTTTCGGGTTTAGGGTTTGAGGGGGGGGGGGGGTTGGGGTTTAGGGTTTCAGGGTTTTAGGGTTTTAGGGTGGAGAGCACCAGTGTACACCCTTCCCGTCACATGCCTCGGTCTGAGCACAGGTTAAAAAATAGGGTTTTAGGGATTTTGGGTTTAGGGTTTAGGCGGCCTTGTGGTTTTGGGCGGATTGCTTTTTTTTTTTGTGTGGCTTTCAGCCACATCGCATCTTGCCATACCCAACCCTCAGCCATGGTCTTCTTGGTGGCGCGGGTCGAACCGAGCTGGAAAAAGGCCCAGATGCCTCTCCCAAGCCCAAGCCCGACTTACTCAGCCCTATCTGGGACCCTCTAGACCTACGGTTTTATGGGTTATGCCTACTAATTGAGGGGTAGTTAACTACCAAGCTGTAGGTAAAGAGAGGCCCAGGTAAAGCCTGAAGCCGCAACCCCGAGCCCCAAAACCGTAAACATGCCCCCCAAACCCGAACCCTAACCCTAAACCCTAAACCCTAAACACCTCCCTGTCAGACCTAGCTGGTCTGAGGTGATGAAGCCCCGGGGGCTGGTCGAGACTTTGCACACACCTGGATTTGGGGGCTTAAGGTTGGATGAGGTTTAGGGTTTAGGGTTTAGGGTTTAGGGTTTAGCTTCAGGGCTTAGTCGCAGTTAGATAGCGTTTAGGAGATGGGCTTTTGAGGGCTTGGGGTTTAGACTTGTATGACATAGAGTTGTCTGGGATCCTTGGGATTGAGCGCGATGCCAGCCTGCCGAGCGAAAAGAAACAAGCAAGCTTACCCGGCTCGTGGTTCATAAGTCCTGGGGACCAAATGAACCCGAAAAGTGGGGTCATATACTCCAGCCTACTTATCGGGCCCTTGGGTAGCAAGACCTTCGGGGATGGCGCGGCAGAGAGAGAGAGACTCCAGACTATACTACTAAATTAGTTCCTACTAAGGCATGATGAACCCTACACCCTTTAAAAGGTTCATACCCCTAAACCCTAAACCCTAAACCCTAAACCCTAAACCCTAAACCCTAAACCCCCTTCTGCCAGAGGTAAAGAATCCAGTCACGGGGCGGCTCTCGCCCTTCAACGTGTTGGGGAAGTCCTTCGCAGACGGCTCGTTCACAGCGGAGGTTCCCAAGGACCGTCCCCGTGGTTTAGGGTTTAGGGTTTAGGGTTTAGGGTTTAGGGTTTAGGGTTTAGAGTTTAGGGTTGGGGTTTAGGGTTGAGAGTTTAGATGTTCCCCCCCCCCATCCCAACAAGTCCTCAATAAGGATTCTAGTACTCCCTC